CCAGATCTATGCTAATTCTGTGTAGCTGTTTGAAGAACTGCACAGTTTAGCCTAGAGGATTCACTATTTTACCTTCCTACAGCAACGTGCAGGTTCCAATTTCTCTACATCTTCAACAATTCTTACAATTTTCTGCTTTCTTTAGAGCTATGTTAGTAGATGGGAAGTGGTTTTGATTTGCATTTCCCTAATAGCTAATGACATTGAACATCTTTTCATGTGCTTGTCTAAGAATTTTATTTTTCCTGAATATTCTCTTTTGGTAGTGTCTCACCCTAAATTTGTGTGTGTGTGTGTGTGTGTGTGTGTGTGTGTGTGTGTCTTAGATGGAGTTGTAACAGAAACGCCCTTGCCCCCGCAAGTATATTTCAGTTTGTTAGTTGCCGGGGTAAGTTCCTTTTCTTATTCTGGTTGTTTCTGGTCTCTTAAAAACAGCTGGTCACTATGATGCACACTGTACCAACCAGTCCAACTGACATGCCATTCTGCCTCATACTCCCTGCTTATTTATCCAACACAAGCCCTAGACGACCAGAGATCTGGGAATGATCCTCCTGATCAGTGCTTGTTGAGGTAAATAAACCTGCCTCCAAATCCTGGGTGTCAGTTTGGTGTTTGTGCTTGCTGTTGCAGAGTCACTATGACTGAACGCTCAGTAAGACTAAACGAGATGGCTGGATGAGAATTCCTGGGCTTCAGCGATCCTCGTTCCTCAGCCTCCTGAGTGCTAGGACTACAGGCATGCGGACCATGCTGGGCTTATTTTAAAATTTTGTAGTTATATACATTTTCTTGTTTTTCCTGAAAATACTGAAATATATACATGTATAATATGTATAAAATGATGTATGTGTATATATAAACACAGGCATAAATATATGTATATGTGTATAAAACATCTTATTTCTTCTCAGCAGCTTTTTCTTCTAAGTGTTGACTTCTGCCTATTATAGGCTTTCCTCAAATGTTTGCTGCCATTTATATTTCAAAGAAGGATCCTATTTTGGATTCACACATCAGTTTATGGTGAGGACCAGGGAGATGGCTCAGTAGAGTAAGAGCTTCCCTGGGAAGCGCAAGGGTCTGAGTTCAATCCCTGGTTCCAAAAAAAAAAAAAAAAAAAAAAAAAGTTCATGGTGAATCCAGATTACTGTCATGAATCCTTTGTTTTTTTTTTTTTTTTAAGAGAATTTTTAATACATAAGTCATTTTTTGTAGTGATTTGAAAAAGTACAAGAACATACATATGCACAAAGTTTAGTACTTTAAGATTTACTTTTGTAAAAGCATGTTGACAAATATTAAATGTTTTATCTGTATTTAAACATTAAAACAAATATAAAACACAAAAATCCAATGTTAATACTGATCTTCCATGCCTAACTGGGATTTAGATGTTAATTTATATTTTATAGAAAGAAATTTAAATTTTCAATGCTTCCAATGAATATACTATCATTCTGTACTAAAACCATCACTGAAATTTAGAAAGTTGGTGTTATTATTTATTTTCTTGAATATTCCATATATAACATGCTATTTTGAATTAACCTTCAAAATTTCAGAGCATGAATGATACATGAATACAGTACCCAAAATGTCCTGAATCCTTTGAAAACAGGTACTGGGACGTTGCAAGCTTCAGTACCTGACCAGTATTAGTTGTATTCATCATTGAAAATACACATGGAAGATATGCTAGAAATGCCAGGAAAACATCCCTTTGGACCACAGGACATAAGAAAGACAAACACTAAACAATACAATCATGAAATTGATCACCAGGATTGGGAGTCTGATTGAGAAAAGAACTTGTAAAAGTAGCTTGACCTATTTGGATTTGTTGCCTTACTTTTTATTTTTTTATTTTTTTGTGGCACCGGGGATTGAACTCAAGACCCTGTGTTTGCCAGGCAAGCCCTTATTCTACTGAGTTATCTCCCTGGGCCTTTGCCTTACTTTTTAATGTATTTATAAAGTATTTCAGCAAAAGAAGATGTAGCCTCTGAGAAAAAAAACAAATATGATAGGCTTTTTTTTTTTTTTTTTTTAGATTCTTGTTCATATCTTATCACAGTGCCAGCCAGAAAGGATTCAGGATAAACATGGTGTATTTTGAATGGGATGCATATTCCTAACTACTGTATTTGTTACTAAAAGTGGTTCTACAAGTGCTACTGAAAAATCTGGAAATTCCTAATGTCTTGAGTATTAGTAATAAAAGTTTAAAAATGTTTTTTATAAAACAAACAAGAGCTGGCCAAATAGCTCAGCAGATTAAAGCACCTGCTTAGGCAGACACAGGCGCTGGGAGTTCATTCCCCAGGCCTGCTGTGCCAGCCCCACCTCTGGGTGCGCTGAGATGGCAATTGAGACTAGGGGTGGTGGTGCGAGCCTGTAATCCCAGCACTTGGGAGGCTGTGAACAGGAGGATCACTACGAGTCCAATCTATGCAGTGAGACCCTGTACACCTTGTCCTAGATACAAAATCAAAATAGGGGCCTAAAAAGCTTATGGGGGGGTGGAGCGAGATAGCTCAGCAGACTAAGTGCTGTTTAGGCAAGCATAAGGACCAGGATTCAATCCCAGCCACTACATGCTGCACCAGTCCTGCCCCCCGGGCGCACTGAGCCAATCACCAAGTCCAGGCATGGTGACGCATGCCTGTAATCTCAGTGCTGGGGAGGCTGAAAACAGGAGGCGTACTACAAGTCTGAGCTGCTTAGTGAGACCTTGTACGAATACATACATATATACATACATACATGCTTACTGGAGCCTGGCATGGTGGTGCACACCTGTCATCTGAGCACTCTGGGAGGCTAAGGCAGGAGAATAGCAAGTTTGAGTGCAGAAATTTAGCAGTTTAGAGAGACCCTGTGTCAAAAATTTAAAAAAGGACTAGGGATTAGCTCAGTGCAAAGGCATTGGTTCAGTACTGGGGGTGCAGGGAGCTTATTGGCAGATCTGGCCAACTCAGGGTTGGGTGACTTGGCAGGTTGCTCTTTGAGGAACTTCCTTTAAGCCTTTCCTCCTGATTACTGAGGCCCTCCAGAGAGGGTTAGAGGTTTTGGCTTCCATGATCTTACGTCGCCTGTGGGTCTCAACACTCAGTGTACAGACCTGAGTCTTCATCCTGTGGCTTCATCCACTTCTTTTTTTTTTTTTTTTTTTTTTTAGTAAGACATTCTTGCCCTCAACTGTACCTAGAGACCCTTGGCTGAGACCTTTAGTTTTATCTTCAGAGAATACAATTCTTCAGGCGTGGGCCTCGGAGGGAATCCAGAAACCCAATTTCTTCCTTAAAAAATAAATCAGCAGGACCTGTGACACACACCTGTAACCCAAGAATCAAGTTAGAGCCTAGCTGGAGCAATTTAGCAAGATTCTGGCTCAAAATTTTAAAAACTTTAAAAAACAAAGGACCAGGCCGCCCCTCCAAAAAAAAAAAAAAAAAAGCTCAGTGTGAAGGCCCTTAGTTCAGTCTCCAGTGTGGCTAAAAATTAAAAAAAGTTTTAATCCATTTCCTTGGTTTTTTATTCCTGCCATCACCCATCCTAGATGTCCTTGGTTGCAGCCCACTCCTGAGCCTTTTGTTCTGAGATACACTGTAATCTGGTTTGCATTTCAGCCTTTCCACAGCCAATTCAGGCTTAGCTTTCTTGGATCTGCTAAGTTATCACTTGCACATTTGCTTTCCCACTTCCAATATTTTGTTGTCATTGTCTCCTTTCCCATTCTTTGCTTCTGGTTTTATGCCTTTAAAAATATAAGACCCTGTAGCTGTCATATCACTGGGATTTTGAATGAAAGCAGAGGCCAGAACTTACATCGAGCCATCTGGTCAGTTTTCTGTAACTGGTAGTGCCCCTGGTAGCCTGTTGCCTAATACACATTACTGTAAGTATGGAATACCTATTTGTCAAAAAAGTAATTAAAATTGCTGCCCTCCCATCTTTGAAAACAGATAGAACCTACACTCTGCCTGCCAATGAGTTGTGTGACCTTGCACAAGTCACTTCTGCTTTGGAGCTGTCCCCTCTTCTGTAAAATAGCAATCATATACCACTTCAGGTGCCCCACTCTATGCCTACAGCACGGGAAGCTCGGGGTATTGTGCAAGGGTTCAATACCAGAGTGACAGTTCTTAGAAAGTCAGCCTTTTAACTTAAGCTTAAAATTAGCCTTCACACTTGAATTGCAAATTGGTCCCTAATTAATGCCTTCGGGGCGAAATCTCCGTTTAACCTGGCTCGACGCCCCAGAGGAAACAACATCTTTCAGTCGAGAGAAGAAATTGTTAGTCACTAAGGACTTACTCAGACAGGGTTCGGAGCTTACCCCCACAGGTCTATGTGGGTCCTGTAGACCCTTCTGGCCCTCTCTACCACTCACCTCTGCCTGCTGCAATAGTAGCTTGTTGCAGGGCGACCAGCTTGGGAACCCACATGCAGGCCATCCCTGGGACACTCACTGTGCCCCTGTCCTTGGGAAGTCCCCAGCCTACCTGTACAGGTTCACACTATCCAGAAGAGCAACTGAGGCAGCGCCTGGGAAAGCACTCACTTCCCCGCTCTCCTTGGCCCACTTAAATGCTCCCCTCAGCCTCCATTTCTCCAGCGCCCCTTTGCCCCCCTTGACCGTCCCCAGCCTTCGCGAGCAGGGACAGCAGCCTGGGCGAAGGGCCGGGCAGCGCGCGCGCAGGTGAGGGCGGGCGGGAGGCGGGGCCTAGGAGACGGCGCCCCGCCCCCGGCCCGCGGCGC